GACAGGACATACATTGAGGAACTCATCAAACTGCATTACGAGACAAGCGCTAACTTGGAATCCTGAAGGGAAGCGGAAAAGAGGAAGGCTAAAGAACACATTACGTCGGGAGATAGAAGCGGATGTGAAAGGGATGAATAAGAACTGGAAAGAGCTGGAAAGGATTGCCCATGACAGGGTTGGATGGAGAATGCTGGTGAGTGGCCTATGCTCCTTCGCGAGGAGTAACAGGCGTAAGAAAGTAAGTACTCCAGTTTACGAATCGGATGCGTTTGCTGCTATACTAATGGATGTTTTGTTGTTCTGGTGAGCGAGGCTATCGCCAAAGATGTCAACAACTAGAATTACGATCTCTCAGAATCAGATGTATCAAATTAAACCTTGTCTTAATGTACCGGCTTTTAACGGTATTTCCTAATCATTGGTATCCACCCATTTATACTCTATGATATCATCCCATAATATACTCAATAAGAAAAATTTTCTAGCAATTCCAAGAAGCCACAAAAACGTACGCCAGGATTTTTCCGTTATTCGCTACTCAACCATATGGAACAAACTATCAGTGAACCTCCGTTGCAGAGAAACTACAATCCGGTTCAGAAGTTACCCTGATGAGTTTCTTTTTGAAAGTAGATTGTGTCATCTATTGAATGACAATGTGTTTAATAATGATTTATACAAACAAGTTCCGTCATCAATCTAACTGACTGAAAACTAAAATGTAACATTTGAAACTTTTCACGTTTATTTGATTTTTATTCATCTTAATATATGAAGTCTGCTTACGTTCGTATCTGTAATTATTACTGTCATTAATTTTGTTATTGGTCCCACGCCACATTAGATATTCTTTTTATCTCTTCTTATCTTTCTAAACATATATTATTCCCAAACATCCAAAGTCTATAAAAAATTTATCTCACGGTACACTTAAATAAATTAACTTCTCAGATTCATTTTATCATCATCACATATATATAACACATAGAAATTTATATTTGATTATCCTATACAATTAATTGTGACTTTCACGGCATCATTCTTAATTATTATTGCACAAATGTTTATACTAATATCCGGTTTCACTCTGTGTACTATTACGTAAATCTACACGCATTTATCCGAGTGCACTCAGGGATTTATTGTATTCATTTATTTTATTTTTCTAAATTGTTAGTTTACTTCGGAGGTCGATATTCATTGCACAATTATTATTATTACCATGGTTAAACTCTCTCACTAAGTGTGCATTTTTTCCTTTCTCTTTTTTCCTTCTAAATAATTATTATTCTCAAGATTACAAAGTTTATAATGAAGAAAATAAATTGTGTTACACTTAAATTAAGTTCTCAGATTCGTTTTATCTTCACTATACATATATGACTCATACATATTGGTATTTCATTATCCTTTTCACTTTATTGACTTTCATAGCAACGCTCCAAACTATGGCTGCACAAACATTTATTCTAGCGTCATATCTTAGTGCAATAATAAATTGTGTTTTCTGAATTATTTTCCATTTTATTTTTTTACCAATTTGAAGATACATACATAGTCGGTTATTCTTGTTCTGTGTTCATAAGCACGTCTATTAAATTAGTTGCGCATTTCACGTCTCCTTTATTTCTATTCCCTTATTTTTTTCCTTTCCTCCTTTAAACTCAATTCAATATTCTCAGTTACACAGAACCTGATTTATTATTATTCTATTATTATTACTCTCTTTTCCGAATATGGCAAGTATAATGTTAACATTATTGAAACTGGTGTATTATTGCATTTTTGAAGAAACCCGAAATGGTTTCTTCATAACATTTATGTACCCATAAGATTTTGGTGCATGATAATAAACGTCGTTTCAACAATCAGATGCTTAACTACGAAGAATGCGTTTTTCACAATATCGTCCAATTTGATGAATTTCGTATATTCACAAAGTTGGCTTGTCAAAGATTTCATGGAAGACGCGCGATTCAGTATGAAGTGTCTATAGAAACTTACGAATCCGTTAAATGTGTGTGCTTGCTTGATTGTGGTTGGTCTTGAGAAATCCAGAAAAGCCACCGATTTGCTTTTCAGAGGTTAGATGCCTTGATCATTAGTGGAGTGTCCTAGGAAACCTAGATAGTTAGTTCCGATTCGGCATATCTGAATGTTTACAGTAATGTCATTGCTTTCATTGTTGTTTGGAAACAAGGTCAAGACGCTAGAGATGAGATTCTCTATCCGGACTTCCTACTAAGCAGTCATCAAGAAACGCATTTATGAAGTTGGGACCTAATTGATGAGGCTTTAGGCAGCACTTCTTAAACTGAATGGCACGCGCAAAAATTCACAGAGATCGAAGAGAACAACGATAGCAGTTTCGGGAATGTCGTCAGCAGCCATGGAAATTCGGTTATAGGCTTTAACCAAGTCGATTTTCGAAAGGACAGTTGTACCTTTTAAGGTAGCTGTCGAATCGCGAATGTCAGATAACGGGTTTTTGCATTCAATCTCCGATAGTCGCCAATTGGACGTCGATCGTTGCTGTCCTTTTCATGGACCATATACGAGGGAGGTGAACAACGGATTGTTTGATGGCCGAATGGTTCCTAAATCTATCATGTGGTCAAATCCGTCTTTAGCCAACTTAAGCTTTACGGGAGTCAGTCGGCTTGCTTTTGATAATACAGGTGGTCCCGTAGTCGTGATGTGATGCGTAACATTGCTGGTTACCCGTGGCAGTTTAGGTTGCGTTTGGCAAACCCCAGCGTACTTATCGAGTATTTGTTGGTAGAATGTATCGGTTGAGTGCCTCGCAGTATCTGGGAATAATCTGCAACCGGAAAAATAAGTTACAGAAACATAAATTAGTGTTTCCATCTACTAACCTCGATTTCCGCGTGTCGATGAGTAAGTTATGATGTTGTAGCATGTTTGTACCAATGATCGGCATAGAAACATCTGCAGCAACGGAAATCCAGGGGATTAGTTTGCGTAAACGGACTTTAAGATAGATGTACTGTTTACCATATGCGGACATCAGTTTTCTATTTCACGTCTGTAAGTTTAAAACCAGTTCGTGCAGCCGGTCGTCAGAATTTGCAGGAAGAACATTAACTTCTGCGCCAGTTTCTACGAGGTAGCGAATGTTCGTAATGGCATCAGTGATGTAGAACAGACGGTTGTGTTCGCTATTTACGGTTGCCGTTTTCATGTCTATCGGTTTTGAGTTCGGAAAATTGCAGGGTTTTCTGCAATTTCGAGATATTCTGTACTGATTATGATACCAGCAACAGTCAGTGTAATTGCTCTCTTGTGATCTAGAGACAGACCGTTTTCGTGAAGAATTCCTTTAAGGGGTTTGTGATCGTTTAAGGTCATGACGAATACGAAGGTAACGTGTCAGCGTATGACATTCTGTCGCTCGAGGAGTTTCTTAGACTGAAAATCCTTGATATTAGAAGGTTTGGTGATTTTTAAAGTGCGCTCGGCAGATGCAGTCAGCTCGTCCGCAGCATTATTTTGAAATGAGACAAGCACTGCTTGCACTTTTTGAGTAAGCTTAGACAGGAAAATTTGTTTAAACAGTGAATCGCTGAAGGTCCTTTGACCAATTACTTCACTCATTCGTAACAACATGTCTGTTGCTGAACCGTGTTGCAGATCAATTTTATTAAGGAGTGGATCTAACTTCTGTCAACCGGTTAGATCCCTAGGTTTCAGAATGGACTGTTTCGAAGTTTCATAAGGTTCCGAAGCATCACTAGTAAAAATAGTAGGTGTGACGTACCTGTTGAATCCGCGCGGTAGTGCCTTCACTACTGCGAGTAATTGTGCGCGTGTATTGGTCACGCCGTGCTCGTAGAAGTTAGTCTTTGTGTAACAGAACCAGGCTTCGATGTTGTCTGGCCAGCATGGGATTAGCTGAAACGACGATGGTGTCATAGTCTTGATCTTAAGTACATTAGGAGTCTATTCTGTCATGGCGAATATGAAATACAGGAATGAACGAGGGAAAATATCCAATAACACGAAAAATATTATAATATATAAAAATTAGAGTAAGGCAATGATACATGAAATTGTAGCAAAGAACAGACTCATAATTTACAAATTTGTGTACCAGATCATACGGTTCACCAATGACGATGCCACAGGTATTCATAGTTTGACAACACTTTAGCTAGTAACACCTATAATTGAGTCGTGACCACCGAATGAAACTGGAAGTCAGAAGCGAGGGGATTCGATATATCAATATATCAAGAAATGACTAGTGTAAACTAGCCAGAGGTTGCAGGAGAGGTTGGGCACGGCGTTTCCACTAGTGATCTGGTGCGGATGTGTGACCAAGTGCCTTCAGCTAGATGAGTCTATTAAAATTAATGTGGTCAGCATCAAATGTCTAAGACTTACAGAGCTATTGATTTTGGGGATTTATTTATTGCTACATTGAAACTGTCTAAAAAATTTTATTATTTCAAATGACGTTTGCTCAAATTATATATACGATGTCTGGTCAACCAAAATTTTAACGAGGAACAAAAGTAGTTTGATCATGTTTAACAATTTTCGGGCCGCTAAAAATCGTAATTAACTCGAACCTTTAAATCTGAAAGGTCATACATTACAAGAAAGGGGATTGAGCTAAGTCTATCACTCTAGTAATAGAGAAGGTCTAAAGGTGGCCTAACAACAGTTTTATACTACTAGATCACGACAGTGCGTTTTAAAAGTTATTGTTTATCTCAGCAGATAGTAACAGAATTTCTGAAGACACTCCAAAATGTTACAAACACAGAACCAGTTATATGTCTATTGATTACTGATTTTCCTATCGTATAACCAATGAACAGAACTGCATATTTTAACATATCGTTAAATCTGACAAGGGACTTCTCTTACGAGAATTAACACAGGCCATCAAGCATTCTGTTATCCTGAAAACAAATCACGTGTCTTAAATATTTTAGGAAGTATTATTTCAGTAAAAAACCAATAACTACATAGTGTAATATAACTGGTCCCTAATGTTGGTCAAATATTTTTTTGTTAATAAGATCGAAGTGTAAAGAAATAATCTGATTTCTGTTAGTTCAATACAACATATGTTGGATACTGAATAGCCTTCACTTTCGGTGCAACATTGAATGATTTTGTCTTGTGCAATGAAATGATGCGTTATGCACTTCAGTAAAGTAAATGGCAATGAATCTCATTATAAAATGCCCACGAAATCCGATGTACACAACTATGACGCTGCAAAAGGATCTAGTGCAGACGTTGCTCCTTTGGAACATCTTTTTGTAACTAAATTTTCAAAGTTGACTATTGATGATGAATATAAGTATAATCTTGCTTATTTAGTCACTGAAAATAATAATGGAACAACTCCAGTTGTAAAAAGCTCTCAGACTGAAAAGCGGCGATCAGTCACACCGAATACAAAACCTCTCAACCGCATCCACGTTGATTCTATTCAACGTAAATCTGAACCAGTTATTCATACAGACTACAGAGGTTTTCATCGATTATCTAAATACAAAAGACAAAAACCCTTGCGTGGAAAAGTTTCAACCCGTCGCAGTTCCCCTGTTTATATTAGTAGTCCTGAATCGTATGAACATATGTCATCAGACCTTGATGATCAAGGAGAATGCGACTACAGTTCATTCGCAAAACGTCTGTCAAAAGTACATGATAATGATAAATTTAACCAAAGTCATCTCCTTGGGCAAAAGAAAGCTCTTGTGCCAAATAATGCTCCTGTAGATCCCACTTCCAAGTTAAATTGTTGTGCCATTAAATGCCCAGCTAGTTTGAAAACTGTTGCTCCCTTATGTGAACTGAAGAACAATTTAAAAGTCCAAAAGCCGAATCCAAACACAAATAGCATTGTGTCACGTCGTGAAACTTCCCGAACAATAGACAAAACACTTCGGCAAACAAAAGGTCGCTTGGAATGCATGAAAATAGAAGTAAATGCCCCAGATCCATTAATGAGAGATGATTTTTGCTCTCATGATGTTGCATCTAGAGTAAGAGCATTCAAGGCACTCATGAAATCAGAAGAATTAGAAGGAACTGATCAAAATAGTGGAACAAAATCAATTAGAAAAGTCTCGGATGAACGAAAAACACCTGATGTGAGTTTTGCCTTTGATATTCATCATAATTAAAGCCGAGTTCTTGTCCTTACTTATCCCCCCATAACTTTAAAGACGACTTCATAATGACTTTATTTATTCCAATTATTCGTTTTTGTAAGTAATAGTGTGTGATTTATGGAAGGGAAAGAACCTTTGAAAACAACTCTGTGTAGTATGTAAATATTCATCATTGAAGGTCTGTGAAGCCATCATTCGACATAAAATATTTACCACATAACAAACGGTTATTTTAAACGCGAATTGACGACACTACATGCGATGTATGATGTGATTAGGTTTAAAAAACTTGGAGTTTACAGAACAAGTCATATAAATTAGTCTAGCCTTTCCAGTTTAAAAGACTTGTTGACTTTTTCGTTCGATACGGTCAACGGGTGCTCGATTAGTAAATTAAGTCGGCAAACTAGCGACTGAACGGAAACAGTCCACGAGGTGAGAAACAGATAAGAATCAGCATTGTTGGAAAACTCAGTAATATTAGACGGAATTAAGTACACATACTACTCAAACTAATACTCAAAAGGCAGCAACAAAATTCATGAATTTCGTCTCAAAATAGAATGAACTAAATTTTTCACAAAGGCGCTAATCCACTAACAATTACCCAGTTTACTTGGACATTCATTTTGCAACATACCAAGTTTTGGTGAGTAAACCACTTTGACTCCCTGATTTTCACCTTTTTCGTTCTTCTGGTTTTACTACCTTATCAGTTAAAATAATACTTACTCGTCTCAAGATCGATATTGTGTAAAGTTTATTCGTTTTATGACAGAAGAAATTTTAAACATAAGAAGTCAAATGCTGGTTATTTTATTGTATACTACTTTTTACTCAATCTATATATTAAAGTAGCCAACTGGTTAAATTCTAGGCTAATATTTGGTATGATTTGGTGACGAAAGATGATTAATAACTGGTCAAAATAGACTGTTTTTCTCACCCGAATTATAGAGTTTTTGCACATTGTACACGTTCTCATTATTTCTCACTTGTAGGTCAGTTTATTATCGAGTTGAAATGTTTCAGTGTGATTCAATCTTATTTTATTAATTTATTCAAATACAATTATTCCGGTTAAATTAGACTATAACGCTGAGGTCGGCAATTTTGTCAAATGTATGCGTGAATAAATTGTACTTGTTTCACATATCGTGAATAATTTGCTGTAATTTTAAATACATTAATGTCTTCAAAGATTATGAAGGATTAAAAGTTTTGGTGGGATATTCCAAAGTTGTATGAACTGGAGAAAAACAATGGTCTATAATCAAACCCATAAAAAGCTTAATAGACCATACTTTTTGTTCGATACTTTTGTTTCTTTATCTTTTTGTATTTCTTCGTTTTGGTTTTAACGAATGATAGTACCACTGTTTATAACATTTTTCTCTAATACCTAGTAGTAATGACAGTGACTTTTTCAGATAGTATATACCGGGTGTTTTTAGCCTAAAGCATTTACATGCTGTTTCTATCTTATCACGCTTTTAATACTTCACTATGCTAGTTAAACTGTAATGCCAAACAGTAATGCTGTAAAAGAATAAATTAAAGAAATCTGGGTTTGAAATCATTAAAACTGTATGTATTCAGGACATATAATTAGTAGTAACAAATAGTGACGAAATATTCAAGGCGCAAAACAATCTATTCATCAATTCATCTTATTTGCATACAGTTTGTCAAAGAAATACATTTCTATCATTCACTGAAAAAACCACCTCAACCCTCTGTAACTTTGCAGTTTTATTGTTTTATGAGTGTGATCTGGATACAATTCGACTACATTTATCAGTTAAACTCCTGACATTTTGTGGTGACCCCTTTTTTAAGCTAAAGAAAAATGTTATAAATCTAAGAAACGTTTGGTCTGATCTAATATTTTATTGCTTTTTTTATATATAAGAACTTATTTTAACACTGTTTACCGTCTTGTAGACTTTTAATATCAGATAATTAACGACATGAATCTTGTGGGATTTTGTTGCATAAAAGACTAGTCATTTTATTGATACTGATATTTCACAATGTCTAGATCACAGAATCACGAAATTCAAAATGTGACTTGGATTTTTAACTTAATAATGTTAGTTTTAATATTTTATCTTGGATTAATTCCTGGACAAGATTTTTTCAAAGCCGCTAAATATAACCTTAATATCTATCTTTATAAACCTATAAAGTCCTTTGATGTATTTTTTGTCGTTTCAAACATGTTAATGTACATCTGACTTTAAAACGTCTTCGTCACATATTTAGCCTAACTATTAAGGTATCCAACTGTTCGTTGGGAATTTGTTCAGAAATCAAGACCTTGAATGGAAACTAAATACTTCTAGTTTCGTACCGTCTGATTTTACCTTGAAGTTTTTAGTAGTGTTTTTGAAAAGCTTAGTTTACGAAAAAACTGTATTTGCTAAAACTAAAGCCCACTCAAGAAGAATGTCACATTAATGACCAAGTATCAGAGAAAGATAGTGAATGTTATTGCGTCACTGAGTAAAAATGAATTACTTCTGCAATTTAAACCTGTTCTTTTCTTTTAAAAAAGCTTTATTCAATCCCCTACTTTATCGTGGTCTTAATACTCCTTCTAATTCTACGAAGTATCCTCATTATAAGTTGTTTGATCACATTCATCAAGTGGACATTCTTTACACTTCTTTCAGAAAGTATGTTCATATCATTTATTTCCATTATTTCCATAACCACTATGTTACTTGAAATTATATAAACATATTACTATTATTAAAGGTTTTTGCAAGAATTGTTAGATTTTAAGTTTCATATCACAAACTGAATTTGATTAGACAATCAATCAGAACTATAAGGCGCTGGAAAGCCGTCTTGTTCTTACATAAGAACCATCAGTAGTGCACACTGACAACCCCAGAACGGATGAAACCTAAGACTGTCAAGGTTGATGATAATTGATTAACCTCTAGATCACTTAGTCAAAATCCACTGGTCATTATCTTTTTAAAAAAGTCATCAAGTTTCTACTAGTGATCAAGTTAGAAGGGTAATTATCGGAATTCAGTTAAAAGGAAGTGACCAGTAGAGTTAAATCAACTAGGCACGAAACAATTAGCACTAACTCTGATAAAGGACGATCTCAATTTGTTATATCTCCATTTTTAAGGACATTTTTGTCTCTGGTACTATAACTAGACTGTTTTAGAATTTTAAATAGTTAAACATTACGAAGTCTGACAATCAGTCTTTTCCGTTGTCTCCATTCATTCCTAATAAGTTCTTGGCACCAAATATGTTAATTCTGATTGCAGTTTAAATTAAGTAAATTTACTAAGATTCCGTTAAGTATTCCTAAAAATTTTATTGTATTTAGCTTTTTTTAATGTTCTGTTGACTGTGCAGTCATGAGAACGACCAAAAATGTCATTTTGAAAAATAAGTGTGTAATTAATTGCTTATACATTAAGATCGTTCTACACTTATGTGATACCACTATTTTCGACTTGCTAAGCAATATATGCACAAATAAAACTACGCCTAATTACTTACAGCTTATAGAGCCATAGTCTAATATCACGGCGTATTTTCTAATCATATTTTCTGACTTTTTAGGCTGAGTTATTATTTTTAGATTTTAAATGCGAAGTGATATTGCAATGCTTAGAATTTTTAAATGAGTGACATATGAGTTTTGGCTTACCGTACATAATAATTATTGATAATTATTTTAGATGCACCAGTTATATAAGTAGGATATTTTTGTGTAGATATCGTAATAAAAATGCGAACCACCGAATGTCAACTAGGCTGGTATCTCGATAATTGTTTTAATCAGTGATTAAAGACGATGACTAATATGGCTCAGAATTGGTTGCAGTGTCTAAGGCCATTCACTTGTTTTCTTCACTTATATTTCGAGTTTTAGAATTATCTTACACCTTTTGCTGTTAAACTTAACAGATGATTCAACAATAATATCTAAGTCAGACATGTGTACCATGGGATTAAGGTTTGATGGTCAGGAATTAAAGTGGTTGCCACGAGCCCGGAAGTCCGGAGTTTGACCTCTAACGAGGTTGTTCATATGCATTGTCACATAGTTCTATATCAGGATGAAACAAATGTACAAGTGCTTCTTGAATTTCAATGGATGTGTTACTTCAGTCGTTTGTGATACTAATAACATTAGATAACCATTATGACTGTTTTTACTAATCGTCTGTCTTCTTGTATCAGATGATTGGATATTTTGTTATCCAAGATTTCATGATTTAAGCGTTCGACTACTTCACTCCCTGTCTTCAGTTCGGGTGTTGACTCAGGCCAGTCCTGAAGTAACAACTTACATTTAGAGAGGGAGAAACGCATCCCAAACATCCTGGAATTGTTACTCAGTGTCACCAAAGGATTATGTATTTTATCAGCGTCTACACCAAACAAGACTATATCATCTGCCTATTCTAAGTCGATAAGTGGATATCCTGGAAGGAGATCAATGCCCGAGAATTCAGTCAACGAGAACGTTATTTCCATCAGTAGGACAGCCATACCCGACACCATTCGAGGTTACAAAATCACATGACAGTTTGCCATAAGCTCTGACTAAACTGGTAGTGTTAGAGTAATGAACCCTCACAAGGTTTATGTACTTCCGAGGCAAACTTTCCAGTGAAAGACACTGCCACATAACCTCTCGGTCAACAGAGTCAAATGCTAATTTTAAGTCAAGAAGGACCACCACTGTCAGACGCCGATAAGCATGGCTGTGTTTCAAGATCTCAAGAATGGCGAATATGTTGTCGATGCATCCACCACCAGGTCTAAAGCAAGCCTGATTTTCTCATGTTTGGAGTTCACGGGTCTTTGTTAGGCGTTGAGTAACTATTGAGGCTAGTATTTCAGATGCTGTATTAGTCAGACCTATCCCTCTATGGTTATCACAGGATGATTTTGGCCTATTCTTATATATTGGGACGACTGGTGATTGCGATCATTCAGATGGGATTACATCCAAGTCCCACATTTTAGCTAAAATACTAGCCAACCTAATCGCTAAAACTGGGTTACCATCGTTAAAGACCTCTGCAGCCTCTGGTCAAGCTGCTCTTCCTCATCTCAGATTAGCTATTGCTTTTTGAACTTCAATTAGAATCAGGTGGTCCACTTTAATGAACTATTAAGGCCAACTGAACCGCTCCTCCTTCTAAACGTCTGGACTGAGAGAAGATGATGGTTGTCTTTTTCGGTAATTGTCTCACTCATCACTTGACTTCTTAATTCCGGTTTCTTTTATTAGTCCGACAGGCTGTTTTGTGTTACCTACAGCCACTGCCTATTGCACCTCTTTCAATTCCGCTGCCCATCATTGCTCACGATCGTTCCGTAGACTTTTCGTTAACCTAGATCTGATGTGTTTTTGCTCTTCATCGTGTTCGGAACCTGATGGGATGAGTTTACGAGAATCTATCAGTTCAATTGGTGCCGCAGAAATCCACTTGTTTTGTGTGACCATTTGGTTCAAACCACTAATAGATATTGCTGCTATATATATAGCTGTTCGTATATCTTTCCAAGCAATATCTGGATTAGACTCATTTATAAAATTGCCGAAGTGTGATTTTAGTTGTTCCTCGTCTCTGAATTCAACTCTGATAGGTCTTCTTATTGTGGCTTTTCTGCGTCCATTGAAACACAAGCAAATATGTGCTCGTATTGGAGAATGATTGGAGTCTAAACATGCACTCCAGAACGAGTGGCAGTCTCCTATCGAGCCTCTCCAAAGATGGCTAATGACAATATGGTTGATTTAAGTACACCGTTCGTTTGGTGCAGGTGAACGTCATGTTGACGATGTCCCTCCTTAGGCTTAAAATTAGTGCTTGTTAAAAATAAACGACTGTTTGAGCAGAGTTGCTGCAGTCGGTCACCATTATCTGTTTGCTGAAGCAGAATACTAAAATACCCATTTAAATGTCTTTCTGTTTGGTTTATGATACCTAGTTGCATATTAAAGTCACCTGCTACAAGTGCTGTGTCTGAGCGTTTAGTTTTCTGGAGAATTTCAGAGAACTCTCTGAAAAATGCATATTTCACTTCATCCCGGTTGCAGTCAGTTGGAGCGTAGGCAGAAACGACAAAAAGGCAACGACGTGTATCCATAACCTTCCGAGTTCTTACAGAGCTAAATACTCGAACAATACATAGGCGACTGTTAGCATGGATCTATTCTAAAAGTGCTTGTTCTCCCCACATTCTCGGTGCTATACTTATCCCCTCTAGTCCACGAGAATTAGCCGTCGGGCCGCCAGATAGACGGAGGGTATATCTCGTCGGTTCCCCGTTTTGGCTAAGTAAGGTCAAGTGAGTGATCGCACTAGGATCCTTTATGCGTGTCTCGGAGACACAACCTACATCAATGGTACGGTATTTCAGGGTCTTAGCCAAGAAAGCCTGCTGGCCGATCTCACATAGGGTACGTACGTTTAAGGCTTCAATGCTTATTTCGGAGCGAGGTTATGATAGACTTGGGACAGTATTTCACGCACTAGAATTGTTGGTCATAGTGACACTTGAGGAGGAAGTATAGAACCGGTAGTCAATGTAGGAGGCGTAGTAGGGATTGAAGAAGGAAACTGATTATGAATGCAGTGGCCCTGAATACCATTAGAGGTAAGAGGATGATTATCAGTTCCTGGTTACTCGCACCATGCTACCTGGAAAAGAAATAGGGTTAAAGGTGGTCTTAGTGACCGCAGTGAGGTCGGCCACACACCACCTTTTTGAGAGTAGTATTCGTATTAGCTCCGTATTGTTGGGACCCTACAGAATGAGACGGGAATCCGCGGGAAAAGGTAAGGTGTGTATTTTTAGGGCCGACCTTTTCTAACCCCACCCCTCCTTGTGGGAAAGCACCATCGCTGTTATGCTGGTTGTCTGGTGGAAGCGCCTTACAGCTGTCACACCTCTATACAGTCGGCAGTAAGGCTTAGCCCTCGGATCTTGGGTTTACTGCTTTTAGTCTTACCGCTCTTCAACCGACCTGTCTGGCATAGTAGGATCTTGGGGAACGAATGTTCCAGCCAGTATAGCCCGACTGGTTCATCACGATAGTCAAGCCTGACCACCATGTCAATGTAGCAGAAACGGTCGCGTTACTATTTATATACTTCAAATGATTATTCACACATTTCTTATTACGGAATTGTTAGCATTTATTGTTTCAGTGGGTCTACTTACTCAAGTTTTGACCCACCTGGTGTGTTTTGACATTTATCCAAGCAATCGTTGTGTTTTTTCACCACATGTAAACATGTTATAATACTCATAAGTGACAATTTTACTCACTATGTTTACTTTTCAGTGCTACAGACACTTAGTTAGAGTTTTGTCTTCTGAGCTGGATGGTAGACATTTGTGCTGATAGTGTTCAGAAGAACAACGAAAGCTCTACAATCAAACCATCCAGTTCAGAGAAAAAACATCCCATCTAAATCATCCACCTGAGCTACAAATCATCTCCACCATCTTAAAATGCTGCATACAATTTCATTGAGGGCTTCTATGCTGTACATGTACATTAGTACGTGGCCTAGTAGGCTAAAGGTCCTCACTGTTTGCCAAAATGGTCTGAGACACAGAATTTTAAAAATGTTTGGTATTGAAAAAGCTTGTACAACCAGGGTGCAACACTAACATGTGATATTTTTGTTAATCAGGATTTTTACTTCATAGGTTTTGGTTAGTATGTTTTAAGCCATATTACTAAAAAAATAGTTGTTTGAACAATTTATGATATGAAACATTCATAAAATGTAGTTTTAACAGAGTGTAGATCACATTTCAAACTTTAATTACGAGTTCAGTCAGTCAGCTAATTATTCATTCAGAATATGAAAATCGAAACAAATACTGATCGGTTCAAGTTACCATGCTTCATCCGTTGAGTGAGAGGAAGATATCGAGATAAATGTCAGAGTAGTACGAATAGTCACGGTACTAGTGGTAATTAAAAACATTAAGCAGATAGTATGGCTCAAGAAAAAATAATTAATTTGTCTGGTAAAAAGTAAAGGACAGTTTTGAAACCCAAGATCAAAGAGATAACAGTAAATGGGGATGTGCCGTTGCAACCGATTCCGTTCTATTTCACCCAACATCTACAGCTGTTGGTTAAGAGAATCACACCGTTGATTAGAGATTGGTTATCGGTTCAACTGTAATTTTACTGCCATTTAAAAAAAAATCGGTTGAGCAATGTTTTGTTATCAGAAGGAGTTTTGTGGAGATTGTAGTAATTTCAATGGTTGAGATCATGAGTCAATTGAAGTTATACCACCATGGAAAACCTGGAAGCACTGGACGGCCAGTTCGTCCTATTGCGGGACTCCTCAGCAGTGCGCATTCATGCCCCCGTCTCGCGGGACGAAACGGCCGTCCAGTGCTTCCAGGTTGTCCATGGTGGTATAACTTCAATTGACTCATGATCTCAACCATTGCAATATTTTATTGTTACACTGGTAAAAAAAAATAGGAATTGACAGTTTAATAACACGAAAAGCCGTTAACAGTGATTTAATTCATTCACACTCTATGATCATACACTGAGTAATTGTCAGATTAAAATAGTTATATTATAAATGAGTAACTGGATACAAATATTCTTATATTGTTATTGAACTCCTACTGATAATTTTCTTTGATAATAATTTTGGTTATCTTCTTTTGTTTTTTTTGCACTACCAAAGGTATCATATCAAGAAAATCATATTGGTCTCCGTCGGTCCAAAACGTTTTCTGGTGAACAGATGTCAAGAAGATATCAAGTATGGTTTTGATAACAGTTATTATTTTCATGAAATCGTTTTTACGATTTGTCATTTTATTTTATGTCGCCTAGAAATGTAACGTTAAAGCTCAATAGGTAGCTAAATCACTAATAAGAATAACACCATATGGCAATCGGCAATGGTCATATAATATACCACATTGAATGGAAGGGAAAATCACTAACCACGGGAATCCTACCAACCATTTTTTATTGAGGTCTGTTAGTTTTAGGTGCAACATTATTAGTGGTCTTGGGTGATCTCATTATGGAAATATTAAAGGAAAGCTAGAAAGTAGTGGGTTGGCTTAAGTTGTAACCGAGATAGATATCCTGTCCTATTTAATTCGGGAGGTTTTTCTGGCTGACATTTGTTTACAATCACCAACTTGAATAGAAATCTCAATCTATCCATCGATAAATAACACCAGAATGTATGACCAACGTTTCGTTGTTCACTTACCTCAGCTTAGGTTGTTGTCACTGAGATGTGTTTGCAGAAAATGATTTCCTGTAGACTCAAGATATTTATATTGGTTAGTCACTAACTAGTAACTGATTTCATGCTTATCTAGTCTCCAGTGCTAATCAAATGCCGTCTGTCAAGTTGCAGTTGAACTAATAGTCTAGGGGCTTTACATCATGTTCACTTTGTTTTGATTTTGACCATGTGTTGATGTTTCAAATTGTACACCTGAGTGATTTGGATTATGATACCACGGTATGCACCAATCACTTCAAGATTAAAGGGACTCGTTGCTGACAAAGGCCTTTTAGCACTATCCCTAAGTTTAGGGTATCCTGCCAACAACTTTAATCAATCTAACATCAAAACATGGTGCACATGATGTTGACTTACTTGTATTACTGACCACATCACTTGGTAGATGGAATTCAAATGGTACTAAAGACTAGCACTATTATGAACTTGCTTAATGCTCAATGATCAATAGGTTAACTGACAAATGTTTTCTCGTAGTATGAGACGTGTTAGTAATTCATGTCTTCAAAATAGTTATGAGACCGGAACTGATTGTTTGTAGTAGCGCCTAACGGTTTTATATTTGATTGCTCAAAGGTTATTTGGGGAGCGGTTATAATAATATTCTAAGTTTTATGATGCTAAATCATCCAGGTATTCGATGTTTTAAGACCAATCAACTGATGCTAATAGATTACTATCAAGATGAAGAACGACAGTTATTGCCTTCAATCTGCACTAAGTAAATATCAAAAGACTGTATGTTGCGAAACACCTAATTTACAATTTATCGACGTAAAATCATGATCATTTAATCAATTGTGTGAAGAGTATTTAGCAGTTACTTAGCTTATTCAACCTTAAAAATGAAAAAAAAACATGTAGCTATGAACATCAGCATCATAGCTGACCTCAATTCATGCACAATGAATACACGACTTTCAAAAACCCTTTAAAAGTCAAACATGAATCCAAACTTCTTTTGTTACGTCAAGTGATTCATTGACAAGTGCTGTGAACTCACTATTTGTTTTAAGTGATATATACATTAATTAGTAAATTATTACAAGTGGTTGAAGCAACTCATTTAAATTTAATAGACCATAGAAGTAACTAACACTTCAGGAGTATTTACTTTGTATTAAAATCTCTGTTTCATCTATTTGCTAAGATGTATATCAGCTTATTGCTTTGTGCAACATAAATTACACAAATCAATAAACAATGTTGGGAAATTCATTATCATCAACAACCAATAAACATCAAGGTCAGTAGAATAAACAGTTATTCATATGTTAAGAGTTTCCTATACCTCATTTGTATATGAAGTTTTTGCTGATAAAGTCATCCAGAAAAAAACAATGATTAAACCATTGTTCTCAGAGAGCACAACCTCATCTAAACTACAAATTTTTTCCATGATTATGATTTAGAGATGAATGTATAACAAGTATATTAGCATTGTACTGTAAGTATATACTTGTTTAGCAAATCTCTATCACTTTTATTTTTACCCATTTGAACATGTCAACGAATAAACATACTTTTAATGTTCAATTTGATAAGGAAAAAAAACACAAAGAATTCATTTATTTGTTTCTTTTAAAATAGGATTTTTCATTGAGACGATTGTTTTATGCACATTTATTTATTCCATGGATTGATCACGGTGTAGGTATTCATAAATTGGATGCTCTTAATTCAAGTATTTCATTTTCATGAGTTTTTTTCTAATCAACAACTGTAGTTGTTTTTAACGAAATGTTTGACTCAATAACAAAAAGCATTCGCTGCAATACTGTAACTCATTTAATGACATAAATATTTTTAGTTTATTGTTACGTCGTTTTGCTTAGTAGTAATCCATAATGGCCAAATATATTTTACTGTGGTTTCATTATCCTTGGGATTATATTTATCGAAGTATATATATATATATATATATATATATATATATATATATACTGCTTAAACCTTAATTAATAAATCTGAGTAAAATAAAGACAACAAGCTTCACTTTGATAAAATGTATGAAAACATTTACTTCACAACTGAAATTAATAAATTTGACATATTAAAGTAATTAATGATCAAAATATTCCTAAGACTTCACAGATAACTCGATTATATAGTTTATTTTATTTTTATTTTATTTGAACACATAAATATTGGTACAAGAGGGCACCAAATATATATGCGCCACACAAAATTTTGTGTGTGGGCTTTGATACTGCCCGGGTGCCCAGACCGAAGCAAGTGTTTTTCTTATGGGGGCCACACACCGAGCCTTTGGCCTAAAGGTCTGACCCACAAGGCAGTGGTGCATCGTGGGGAGATGCCGTCTCATGGTAGTCGGTGACCAATGATTGGTTCATACGCCATTTGTTCCCTCAGGATACTGGAGTCCATGTGCACCATTGGTTTGGGATCCGGTTAAATTGCCGGACATTCGCTTTTCATCCTCTCGTTTTCGTAGACAACACCATCGCCACGAGAAGGCAGTGAGTAGGACTTCCCTGGCAGAGGCTGTATACGCGTGACCATGTGAAAGCATTTCAAGAGGGAGGGCGGGCCCACCCCACTCTTGGCCATACCAGGGCATTTGGGGGCAATATGGTTTATACCTGAAGTAAGTTAACTGATGCAAAGAGAGCATGCTAGATAAATGTGATCACTAGAGAACTCTGAAATTAAGTTGCGTGCAATTTAGTGCTTTTCAGCACATCATTTCTGCAATGCAGTAAGAACTGATACTACTCGTAGGACTCGAGCTCGAAGCACACACTATCACAGTTGAAAACTTTACCACTAAGTTATCGGGATTTTGACTGACTTCCTGTAAAACTGTGATACTCATATTGATCAACAGCTGGAAATTTGCCAGTGTCATGCTTACCTAGTCCTTAGTGTTGATCGATCAGTCCTATTAAGGTTACGGATGAGACTTATTGACAAGTCTTAACTACCAGAAATCGTAGATATAAAGCTTACTACTAATGGTCATTAATCACCCAACATTGAAATAATATTGCCTTCGATGTTCAATAACTTGGACTACTAACCTCGTTTTAGCATAATCGAAAGAACTTGATTTGGACTCGGGGTTAGATCGACATACCATTAACTTCTCCTGAGTGATCGATATTTGCAAAATATGCGTTTCTTTTAGATGACGTAGTGCGCTTAGCTAACAAACATGCAGAATTCTACGTACATAACACTTAATGACAATTAAGCCTAAATTAAAATCTAACAGCTACCAATGCTTTCATATTTATATATATATATATATATCGTAATTTGCTAAAATTAGTACGACACTACTGCTATTGTGAACCAATGTTTTTTTCAGTTAATTATATACTAACTTACATTTAACTTGAAAACGCTTTTACAGAAACATTATTTGGTAAGTGACTATTGGTTGAATTGTACATGTGTTGCTTACCTCATACAATGTTACACTGTTCACCTGGTGCCATAGTGAATGGTTTCTCCCAGAAAAAAACTGATTATTTTATTCTACTAACAAGCATTGTTTAAATAATCAACATTTAATTTCTCAGGTTATTTCCTTTACTTACTTGGGTGTTTTGTGAAAAGATATAGTTAGATTTAACTACAAATTGACATCAGATAGGAAAAACCATTAAAAACTAGGAAACATTGGACAAAAGTTACATCCTGGTTTGGTACTCTTCAGTTGTAGACATCAATGAATCCACGTAGGGTCGAGTCTAGAAACTTCAAGGTTTGTGGTTAGATATTCATAATCAGCATAGAGTTTAACACAGATTTGCGTTAGCCTAAGGCGTTGTACTAAATGGAGATAATAAGACTAAATAAATAGGATAAATAGCAGTTTAAGTTCAAATAATTTTGCTAGCACTTGTCATGAGATCATTAAAGCATTGAAAACATGGTTCGTGAAGGAGGATAAGAAGGCAAGTATGAAGGAATAATGGGACAGATAAAACGCGACACATGTTCCATCACGGCAGATTATCAGCCATGTCACCCAGCGTCTCCAGCCACTGATTATGATTATTGCCCAAACCACAACACGTTAATCTACGCCTACCAAAATGACTAAGTTCAGTGGTCAGTGATTACATAAGCTATTACCATGTCTTCATTTGGCTACCCTTAGCTTTCTTCCAGTTAACTTCTTCACCAGATAAAAAATGTATTTAGAGATAGTATGAGGTTATTCATACTTAAAAAAATATCAAAATCACCTCAATAGATGGAGATTTAGAGTTTCACCCACTGATTTGTTCGATTCACCTATTACCCTGCGTCCAACCATCACATCGCCAGCTCAGTAATCTCAATATGCCCTAAAAGTGCTCCGAAAACACTTGTGACCATCTACATATATCTTCTGCACCTATAGATTATTCAAACAAGCATGATATCTTTAAGTTACTGAAAATGGATTTCGAACCAAAAAAAATAATTTCCAGGGCTATCTCATTTCAATAACACTTCAGTTGATTTTAATTCGGAACGAAAACTACATTTTTTAGTCTTAACAGCCACTAAACCACTTTTAAATTTATTGACATGAAATAAAGTGACATTAGATGAGACGCCTTAATTTAATTAGAAACGATTAGGAGTAACCGATTTGCTTTTCAATAAGCATATTTAATTTAATTAACGTTATTACCATCAATGTATTTATTCAGTAAGTAGAGTATACATTTTCGGTTCTATTTAATGTCTGTTTACTTCAACTTGAGTTAAAATACGTTTCAAAAATACAACATGATATTCTTTCTCTCTCATGAATATATAATTTGTCATTTCTAGCAAAACCGTATAGATTTAAGAAACATATTCATAGTCATTTTGTTGACTTTTTCGATCTGTCTAAAATAGATGGTATGAATAAACTAAGACGTGTTTTTAGTTTATTTGTTTGAATAATATGATGGCATTTGAGCATAGGGTTTATAATAGATAGATAATTTAGTCGATGAAGTATGACAAACTATCATGAATATGAAACGTAACAGATAAGAGTGTAAGATTTAATTAAATTGCAGTTATTTAATTGGTGATATCTTATCCTCACTGATAACATGTGGTCATACTACTGAATAAATAATTCTAAAGTAGTTTTATGCGAGAAAAATTTATCAGTTGATGATATTCTGAATCTTAATTGACTGATATTGTGGAGTTATTTGTTAGAAATATTAAGTCATCGTCTACTATCAACGAATAATCTAGATTGAAGAATGGATGATCTACATTGAGTCTGAGTGTGAAAAATTACAAAACCAATTCGTTTAATCACTGACTGTCGGTCTGAATCATTTAAAAAACAAAGAACATTTTTTTATGGGACCTTTAGGACATTAGAAATTAATCTGAGTCAAAGATGTTCAGAACTAATCACACACTAGAAAACTCATTTACAATTTCCATCTTTTACAAAATCTATAACATCTAACCCATTATTTGGTTTAACTTCAATGCATTTCCTTTTAATATGTTAAAATATCATTTCGTATTCATTAAATTTTCTTTTCATTTTCCTGTTGTTGAAAGTATGCACAGTTTTGTGATAAAATGTAAGTGAACTTGTCTAATTTTCATGAAATTCAAGAAAGCTTACTTAAGTTCAATGGTTGAGATCATGAGTCAATTGAAGCTAGACCATCATGGAAAACATGTAAGCACTGGACAGCCGTTTCGTCCTATTGTGGGACTTCTCACTAGTGAAAATCCACGATCCCGTCTCGCCTCAAATGACTCATGATCTCAACTATTGAAATTATTATAATATCCACAAAAACCCTTCTGATATTAATTATTTAATTCAACTAGAATTTAATTATAAAATGTTTCTTTCAATCTATTTCTCTGTACAATTCATTTAATAAACTTTCTAATATGATGCAATAAGAATTGATTGGATAATTCATGTTTACATTAAATAGATTCAAAATCTAAATTTGCAATTATATTTTTTAAGGGCTACGTGATAAAAACTTGTAAATTATATATTTTGAATTAAAAGTAACCTTGATTAACTATTATGAAGGACTAAATTGGTCTGTGTTATGAAATTAAACAGTGATCATTTTATAAGCAATGATGGATGGTAACTGGTAGCGGAATGTAAATCGAGCATTTCGTCTTATTTTGAATTTGTCAGCTGAATGTAATTACACTTCAGAAACTGATCAATTGTAGTTCTAAACGTCAATGAAAATATCTAAACTAATAGTAACAAAAAATAAATTAATGGCTATTTTGTTATTGTACGGTCAAATTAATAATTATCAATATAATCTAATCTACAAATTTATAATAAAACACAATTTATATGAACGAAGAATATTCTTTTCAATAATTTCTCACTAGGTTCTACAATTATAAATCCAAATTAAGAAACCATAAAGTTGGCCAGATCTAAGGCAGAGTACATCATCTGGAAATTGTAATATGTGAATCAAGAGATCGTGGATGCGTACTGCTGAGGAGTCCCACAATAGGACGAAACGGCCGTCCAGTGCTTACAGGTTTTCCATGGTGGTCTAGCTTCAACTGACTCATGATCTCAACCATTGCAATCAAGAATTGTTGTTTGTTATATAAAATCAAATCAGATCGTTAATGTTGAGGCTGACTAATATAAAGTGTTAACTTGAATCAGTTTATAAGTGCAATGAAATTATGAGATAAATGATGATCAGAATAAATATGCTCAACATGGGGTGAGACAGAAAATAATGAAATAGAAATCAGAAATTACGTAATATGTAGAATAATATGAATTGGGTCAGATATAGTAGGTAGGGGTGGATACTGAATAAATTCCTCAAAAAGTTTATCAAGTGTAATGATAATTATAATAACAATGATAAAGACGATAATAACAATGGTAACGATAATAATAATAAGTTTGGGACACAAAATGAACATTAATCAAATTACGTCACTATATTATAAGATTGATTATTAACTAGTTGGCCCCAAAGTTGGCCAGAGTAAAAGGAGTCGTTGAACATATTTCTTTTGGATACAAAGCTCTGGCTTTTTGATCTGAATAGCTATTGCTTCAGCCATCTGTAGGATTCTCAGTCTGACGGAATTAGGTAGACTGCTGTTGACACGATCGATTATTGCAAAAATTGCTCCATGTTGACTGTATATCTTGTCTGAACTAGATGGTCTAAAATGGAGCTGTTAACCGTTTTGACTACACCTTTGCTTAACCACACGGGGAGGTGCTCACGAGCCCGAATGTAAAAATTCCTAGAAAATCTGCCAATACAACTTGCTCCACAGGATCAGTTGAATTGATAAGTACGGAAAGATGTGGCTAGTTTAAGCAATTTATCTTTCAACCTCGGAGTGATTATTGGACGTGTGAAAAACATTAGTTGTAGTTTACCTGCATTAAAAGTCCTTCGAATTGATCTGCTTAGCATTTCCCTCGGTGCATCGCCTATGAATTGTAAGCGTACATACAGAGGCATTTTATTTACTGTTAGGCATTCTCTATGCTTTCTTTTATTGGCTGTTTTTATTGATAAATTTCTCGGGATATCCATTTTCTGTCTCACCCCATGTTGAGCATATTTATTCTGATCATCATTTATCTCATAATTTCATTGCACTTATAAACTGATTCAAGTTAACACTTTATATTAGTCAGCCTCAACATTAACGATCTGATTTGATTTTATATAACAAACAACAATTCTTGATTGCAATGGTTGAGATCATGAGTCAGTTGAAGCTAGACCACCATGGAAAACCTGTAAGCACTGGACGGCCGTTTCGTCCTATTGTGGGACTCCTCAGCAGTACGCATCCACGATCTCTTGATTCACATATTACAATTTCCAGATGATGTACTCTGCCTTAGATCTGGCCAACTTTATGGTTTCTTAATTTGGATTTATAATTGTAGAACCTAGTGAGAAATTATTGAAAAGAATATTCTTCGTTCATATAAATTGTGTTTTATTATAGTGGGAATTTTTCAGCGATTAAAATTTATAATAGACAAATACATTTCTAAAGAGGAAGAATGTATTTGGAAAATTTCAGCGAATGGATTTTGAAGTAAACCCAACATTTCACCTGACAATTTGGTCCAAGCTTTTTCAAGAAAATATAACGTTGAATTTACTCTAAAATTCATTCACTGAGATTGTACAAATACATTCTTTCTTTTTAATGTCTCAAATTAACTCGGCTCCCAAATAGTATGAAGCTATTCGATGAAATTTAGTCGAAAAATTTTATTTACTCTACAATCGCATCAAATTATCGAAAAAAATACACTTTTGGTTTGTTTTATTTGACCTGATTTCAAACATAATGATTTAAAATTACTTGTGCTTTTTATTGTTTGACCCATTAAAATCTTCAAATGTTAACAGATTTTCTTGTGATCTAATTGACTAACAAGATGATTAGTTGTATTTTCTTACTCATTTCTGCTAATACGTGATCTTTCTGACTTCAAATATTTTGTGCGTATACTTTTTAAAGTGTTGATATTTGGTTGTTTTTAAGTCTATAAACTGATTTACAACCAGATATTTATATCAATAGCAGGAAAGATACGATTCATCGTTAAATATATTACTGTCCATACTCTACTAGACTAACAGTTACAATAAAATAACGTACGATGGAGCGATTTAGTGGATTGGTTGAAGTTAAATATTAACACCGTTAGATGCCGACCAGCTCAGTGGTTTAATGGTTAAGCGCTCATGCACGAGACTGATAGGTCCTGGGTCCAAATCTCGCGGGTGGCGGGATCGTGGATGCGCACTACTGAGATGTTCCACAATAGGACGAAACGGCCATCAAGTGTTTCCAGTTTTTCCATGGTGGTCTAGCTTCAATTGACTCATGATCTGAACTATTGAAATTACTAAAAATCTCAACAAAACCCCTTCTGATGATAGATAAAAGTCAATGAAAATAGTATGAACTTCTAATAAGCACTATTTAATAGTACTAAATGTAATATGTGAAATCAACAAACACAAAAAAATCAGTGTCCAAAGAAATACGTGATTCATTTGTGAAGTATTAATGAAATATTTAGCAAAAATGATTTGATAGAATGTCTACTGAAGTATATTTTTAAAGTAAAGTACTCGTGAAATGGAAAAATTAACATGTCTACATAATCAGACACACCCAAGAAAAAAACTGTTTTCAATTGATTAGAATGACTTTAGTGCTAGTTAGAACAATTTTCTAAATTTTATAAAATTAGCTCATTTAAAATGTCAACAGTTGAGATCATGGGTCAAATGAAGCTAGACTACCATGGAAAACCTGTAAGCACTGGACGGCCGTTTCGTCCTATTGTGGGACTCTTCAGCAGTGCGCACCCACGACCTCGCCCCCTGCGAGATTCAAACCCCGGACCCATCAGTCTCGCTCACGAGCGCTTAACCATTAGACCACTGAGCTGGTCGGCATCTAACGGTGTTAATATTTAACTTCAACCAATCCACGAAATTGCGCCACCGTCACGATTGTCTTCAGTGAGCTGATATCTCATAACAGACCTGATTGATCTCTACTGGTCACTGCTTCTCACTAGAACTTCAGGATATACCTCTTGAAATCAGTCACTAGTGAGCATATGTTGATTCATATCAGAAGGGATTTTGTGGAGATTTTAGTAATTTCAATAGTTGAGATCATAAGTCAATTGAAATGTGTCACTAAATTATATTTTTTCTTAAAACTGGTTTTTAGTTCTATCTATAAACAATGCATCATGACAACTAACAATTTACCCTATAAATATCATCAAACGTTGTTTTTTTCCTTATTCTTTACATTTTATTTAATGTCTCAACGATACATTTTTTTGTTATGTCGATAAAAGTTTTTGAAATGGTTTGTTTATTATATGTCTGACTAAGTAGTTCAGTAGACAGCTTTGCTTTTTTTTTCCTGGTTTTACAATCATTCGAAGTGATATATTTGACTTTGAAGATTCGATAGGATCACGTTACTTGTATCTTCTATTCAAAGCAGGGACTGATGATGTTGTCACTAAATGATCATGAAAACTTAACAAATAAATTCATCAACTCATTAAACAAAATATATTTACAAAGGATCCATCTCCATCATTCCATTAGTTTTTCTTGATTTATTGGTATACTGGGAAAAAAGCCTGTTAAGCTGAAAGTTAGATAATCTGTTATTAATTGAGATCATGAACCTATTGGTGTTAGACCACCGTTGAAAACATGGAAGTACTGCACGACCGTTTTGTCCTATTGTGGGACTCCTCATCAGTGCTCGTCCACGATCTCGCTCGCGGAATTCAAACCCAGGACATCCTGTCTCGCGCCCGATTGCCTAAGCTACTAGACCACTGAGCCGGCATCCAATGGTATTAGTGTCTAACCTCAACCAATCCACGAAATTGCGCGACCATCTTCCATTGTACTGAAGTAAATTAATCGTAGTTTGAATATGATTGAAAATTAAATCCAACTGAACGATTTGATATATCCAAGTTTTTGATAAAGTTTCGTTCTCTGAGTTGAATGGTTTATTTCTACCTAAAGTTTGTGTTGGTGATGTTGTTCAGAAGACCTTCACGACTAAACTATTCAGCTCAGAGAACAAAACTCCATCAAAATCATCCACCTGAACTACAAATCTTCTACATTATCTGAAGATTTGTCTAAGTATTAGACTGTTTATCGATTTGTGCTCATAATGTAACCAATGATCAGATCTATGATAATCAAATTTTTTAGCGAACTTTTAACTGAAAGTATAAATTATATTCATTCAAATCTTAAGGTTTTTCTTAAAATAATAATTGTTTATAATGATAATGTATAATTAGTATATAATGTTGTTTTCTTCTGGATTTTTTTGTTTTCTAAAATATTCACCCATATTAGCAATATATGGATTTATGCTTTGATTGTGGCAAACGTATTTATCCTGTAGATCGTATATCTACCGGTGAACGAGTTTATCATAAGGCATGTTTTCGTTGTGCAACATGTCAAAGAACGCTATTGTAAGTTTTAATTTAATTTTCTTTTTTTAAAGAAAAAAAACATTGTTACTGAGTCAGTTTTTTTATAATTTGTGCTTTGAATAAAAAGTTTTTTTTGGTTAGCATTTTTTAGCGAGTTAATTTTCTACATGATAGGGTCGCTAACTCCATGCCTAACCCACCTCCTTTATCCGGGCTTAGGACCGGCAGTGGCCCCAGAGGGGCTCCAGGCGGAGTTTCCTATAATTTGTACATAACTAATTTTTTTAGTAAACGGAATACACCCATTAAGATATTAAATAAGAAAGATTAGTTCAGTGAAGAGTTCTCTTTTTGGCGAATCCATTTTCATTTTTGCCGAAAAGAGAACTCTTCACTGAACTAATCTTTCTTACATAACTAATTATCAAATAGAATACCGTTATTTTTTCTAAGTAAGAATAAAGCACGTTGTGTAAATATTTTTCAGGGACGGAAATATATGTATTTCCATATTAAATCATTTAATAATTTTGAAAAAAACTTATTATTTAACTTATCATCCATAGAAAATCAGTTTAACTTTTTGATTTCCGTGAACCTCCAGCCGTAAATTAAAACTTGTGGACAGTAAAGATGTGAAATTCAACTTAGTTTCAGATGTAGAAATATATTTATTGAAAAATTATTCACGTTTGTAATAGGTCCAAGAACATGGGGTACTTACTGACACTCGTTAATAATAGGACTTCTTGACTTATGGAAGCATTTGACTGCGCAAACCTAGAGGTTTCGTGGGAATGTTTGTCATGAAAAAGAATGACGAAGAAAATTTTTACAGCTGTGAAATATAGCTTTTAAGAAGTAGAAAAAATTGTAGGTTACTAGCATTTAATCATGAGCTTTTTTGAGAGTTTGTCATGTACGTTGGGATCACAAAACTATTAATGTCGAGGTTAGGTATTTGGTAATGGGCAACGATGACAAATAAGTTTGTGAAGCTGTGAATTGCCATTAAGTGAAGCGGTTAGAATATGTGCTACGTGTATCTAATCACGGACTACCTTAATATAAAGCCTTGGTCGAAGTGGGAGAAGGTCGTGAGAAAGCTAAGGGTGGTAAAACAATTATATAGCATTGACCCGTGATTTTATTGAATGCTGGTCAGAGCCACGTTAGTAAGTGTTGACTACCTAATCACAGTTCTAATGCTTATCGTGATCAATAGATGGATACTTTTAGTGATATGTTTCAGAACTGGTCGCAATGATGCAGATTGATCCACTCTTAATCTACTCCTAAACTTTGAATTTCACAATTTTTTTGTGTTTTTCACAAATTGTTTTCTCTTCCCTAATTATATTCCCTAACCTTAATCAACTTTTGTTGGTACTGACACTATTACTTCATAATTATTCATATTGTTGATTTGCGACACACAGTTATACAAAGTTCTACGTTAATTATGACTGAATGAAACTATGACTCCTGAAATTTGTCTTTTAAACAATATTAAGCCTTCTATTAGATGACATGTTTTCAAACGGTAATGAATTTTCAATAGCTTTATACTCAGCTAGTTGTTTGTCGTTATATCAAGGGATATACGCTTGTGTTCATTGTCCTTTCTTTATGTAAAATGTATCGACTTTTATTTTAGGTTGAATTATATAATACTTACCTACTTACGCCTGTTACTCCTCGTGAAGGAGCATAGGCCGCCGACCAGCATTCTCCAACCCACTCTGTCCTGGGCCTTCTTTTCTAGTTCCATCCATTCCTTGAATTACATAATAATTAAATCAATTTCAGTTTATTGAATTACATTGGTTAAAAGAATTTAACATTTATTCATTTAGGTAGTGTAGAACATATTTTTATTAATGATAGACAATGAATAAATCAAATAGAAATTCCTCACTTCTCGTTATTGTAGTTTATTATTAAACACCATCATAAATGTCATCATTTCAGTTGATAGGTTTCTTGATTAATTGTTTTTTTTTATAATAACTTAGTTACAATAATTTTATTGTATAAGAGGAGAAAATAATTTGAATTTGTTGTGAATCCAATTAGATTCTTTTTGAGTCAAATGATATATTGAAAAGATAATTGTATATGAAGTTGTTTTCATGTAACTATGATAAGCAAAAGCTAATATGATATAATACATATTGTATGTTAAAAATAATTAAATGACTTGTTTCTGTTCACTATATGACCGCTATCGATCAAGTGTGACAGAATTGAGATGCGTATTGTCTTGACGTTATCTTTTCCTAATCACGAAGGGAGGTGTTCACTAACTCTTTGGTTCCATTGCCTGGTAATTCTCCCAATATAGCTTTCTCCGCAGGAGCAGCTGAATTCGTAGATACGCATAACCAGATAACTTATCCTTTAGTTGGGGAATCACCATAAATCAGGTTGAATACAATAGATAGAAGTTGGCAACATTAAACATTCTCTTTACTGCTCTAGTCAGTCTATCACGTAATACATCACTAGCTTCATCTCCATTGAATTGCAGCTTCAAGAAAAGAAGTTTTTTATTAGCCGTTGTTGCCGCTATTTCCTTGCTTGTTACACACAAATGTTTCTTCTGGAAACCCTTTGGATATTCCATTTCAATCAACATATTATGAATGAGCTCTAACTCCTTATCGATTGTGTCGCCTGAGCATATCTTAATAGCTTTATTTGCCAGACATACGACTAAGTTTCTCTCATAATGAAGTGGCACAAAGCTAAAAAAATGTGTGTATTGGCTCAAAGCACTTTTTCTATACACATCTGTGCTGATAGAACCATTTTCTTTTCTATTTAATCAAACATCAAGGAAATGTAGTTTATTATCCATTTCCTCTTCACATGGAAATTTAATTGCAGGATGTTTGTTAATAAATAGTTCTAGTAGTTGTTCTTTTCTAATGTTCCGAACGGCGATGATGAAGGTGTAAGCATAAGATTGATAAATTTGAGGAAATTCATTATATTCAGAATGAAGAATTGTAGAGATTGAAGTAATTGTAATAGTTGAATTCATCAGTTGATGTAATCTAGAACACCATGGAAAACTTGGACTCACAAGACGATTATTTCGTCTTAGTATGGGACTCTTCAGTAGAGTGCATCCAGGATTCCGCAAGCGGGACTCGAATCAAGGTTCTTTGATCTCCTTCGCAAATGCTTGACCTCTAGATCACTGAGCCAGCACCCCATGGTGTTAATGTCTAACTTCGATCGATTCATTATCTTGCGTGACTAGCGGAGTCTAAGGTGTGTCGGGTAGAGACAAGTATCTACCTCAGACAATAGATGGTTGCTCAATATCATGGATCGATTGAAGTTAGACATTAACACCGTGATCTATAGGTCATGTGTTCGCGAGGAAGACCAAAGGTCGTGGTTTGGAGTCTCGCACGTGGGACCGTGGATACACACTGCTAAGGAGTCCTAAACTAGGACGAAACAGCCGTTCACTGCTTCCAAGCTTTCCATGGTGTTCTAGCTTGATCGACTCATGAATCCAACTATTAGAATTCATTATCACTGATTGTGATTATCTGTAAAAACACTAGAAATAATGTAAGCTGTAAAACACAATTACTGTTTGAACACTATTGACTAGGTTTGAGATATAATTTTTCACAGAGCGATTGAAGTGAAAATTGTGGATTGAACTTTAATTTAGTGATTTACTGTCAATTACTTATTTTCAGAAGGGATTGTGTGGAGATTTTAGAAATTTCACTGGTTGAAATCATGAATCCATTGAAGCTAGACCACCATGGAAAACCTGGAAGCACTGGACGGCCGTTTCGTCCTAGTATGGGACTCCTCAGCAGTTCGCATCCACGATCGCGAGGAGCAGGATCGTGGATGATTTCAACCAGTGAAATTACTTATTTAACATTATTAGAATTGATTATTAGTAACCGCCTATTGGAGTAACGCATATAAGCAAACAATACAATCAGAGGCGATAAACAGTGCATGAAATTTCTTCTCATACCTCAGATCCATTTACGAATATACACAATCCGTTATCTTAATACTCTTTCCGTTATACATCACGTCTCATTAAATCAAATACCTACTTTAAATATTGTTAACATGATTGAATGACCTATTTAGTATACAGTTAACCTAAGAACCATGTACATATTTATGTTCGATAATTTTAATGTTTGATTATGTTTCTTTGAAAAGCTTGAACCAGATTGCCGAGTGAAATGTTGAATTTTCTTCAAATTCATTCTCTTATATTTTACTGATACATCCTTCCTCTTTAAAGCAAACAATACTGTTTCCAATAAAATTTTCATCAGGCTTAACTTTGATAGAAGTGATAATTAGGTATACATCTGAAAAAATATTAGGTCAGTTTGTGAATTAGCAGTAACATTGAGATTGATTGCATGTTTAATTGCATAAAATAATAATTAAAGATTGTGAATTGATAGTAAAGTAACATGTGTACTAGTAGTAATGAGAGTAAAGACAACTTAAATAATTATTTCAACACATGAAGTAGGTCAAAACTAGAAACTTGTTCAGATAATGATTACATTAAAAATTAAGTAATAAGAAATATGCAAGTAGTCGGTGAAGACACAAATAGTGAATGAGAGAAATGGAAATAGTGAAAAAAATAAACGAAAGATGTAAACAATTGGTAGGATCGTCTCTTAAGTCACATTTAATTAAGGAAGTAACAGATGTGCCACAAATCTCTTTTGAATGTAGAAATTGGAGCTATCAGCCTGACGTCCTACAGGTTCTGCTACAGCTAGGAAATAAAATCGAACCCTAATCAAAAGATTTTATGTTATAAGATGAACGACAGTGAATGCTTTGGTTTGATCTATTAACTGTGATAAAAAGGAGAGGTGTATGCTTTTAGTCTATCTATTTCTAAACCACCAAGTGAGATATTTGTTATCTCGTCGGCTAAGTTGTCTGGTCGTAAACCCAGTATAATTTTCTGCACAGAAGTAATTGGATTCATAAATACATGAAGATGTGGGAAAAACAGA